ATGTGCCACCATACCTGAATAATTAAAAAAAATTTTTGTAGACTTTAGATCTTGCTATGTTGCCTCAGCTGGTCTTGAACTCCTGGGCTCAAGCAATCTTCCCACCTTGGCCTCCCAGAGAGCTGTGATTATAGGTGTGAGCCATAGTGTCTGACTTGCTTTTTAAAAACTATTGTCATTATTTCTATTTTCTCCATTTTTACTGATTTAAAAAATAATATAATAAGGGAAAACTTGGTACAAAGCCATGTATTTATAAATTTATAAACATTATTTGACAAAGACGGTGATGATGTGGAAGGAAAGTATATACTGACTAGAAGATATAATGCCTTGTTATTGTTAGAGCTCATTATTCTTCAGAAGATTCTAAAAAGTTCAAATTCAAAATGTGCAAGACAGGTTAGGAATATTTAAGTATGCCATTTTAAAGTACAGATTAAATCGAAGTCAAAGGCAGATTATTTGCAAATGCTTGAAATGATAGATCATACATTGTGCATATGAGTATACACTCAGTTCTGTGTATCATTATATATACATGTTATATATTTTGTTATAAATATACACATGTGCCTATGAACATAGTTTACCTCATAATTCATTTGGTTGGAGGGAAAGTAGAGTGTAATTGTTGGGTTCAGTGATGTTTGGGAATTGTGAACCAGGCATGGTATATTGAAAGTAAAGTCTTAAAAGTTCTTCATTGCTTCCAGAGATACATACAGGGCAAATAGTTTACTGTTTCACAAATTTAGTCTGAGTATTTTTACATTAATCCTCTGGGGTGAGCACCATTTAATAAAAAACAAATACTAATAATACTGGTAGAGTGTAAATACTTTGGTCATTAGTTACAATTTTGTTACCTCTGAAATACTAGCATTAGTTACTACTAGTTAGCTTTTATTGCAGCTAACAATCAAGACATTTATGTCTTTTTATATTCTTTCCCTCTAGACTGTGAGCACCTTGAGGGTACAAGTCTTGTCTTTGTTTCTTTGTGTTATACTTCATAATACTTGACACTGTAGATTTTTAGGGAATGTCAATTGGGGGAAAGAAGGAATGGAAATTTATTCTTGTAATCTAGTTGCCTTTACATTTGTGAAGTCATTTAGGAGCATTTATGGAGTATTCACTATGGCATCTTTGTGGTAAACAACAAGAAAATACATGAACGAAACACTTGAAAATCCAGGCCTTCCACTTTTAGTTCAGTGTATTAACTAGCTCCCTGGATGTTTCTCTTCTTCTTGGCCAAGGCTTCAGCTTAAAACCATTGTACTCAGAGTACAGGTGTTCTTAGCAGTTAATCCACGTTGCCTTTCCTTCTCCATCAGATGTAGAAACAGTGACCAGAATGTGGTGTATTTGTGGTGGATTCATGAGGCAAGGATGTATATGATCTGATGTTGACTGGGCACTAAGTATTCAGCATTGTGTGGTAGATCTCAACTTCCCCTGGCATGCTGCACATACACTGCCTCTGCTCAATCTTAAGTTACCAAAATTTGGCTCTCTCAGATGAAGATTTGACGTCTTGTGATGGTAAGAGAAAAACTAGTAGGAGGAACCAGTAGGGAGAGAAGCAGATTGGCTAAGCAGGTCACATCAATTTTCTGGAAGCTTTAGTAAACAGCTGTGAATCTCAGCACATCTTGATCTTTGCTTTGGAGGAGGCTGGCAGAGGATCCAACGGATGGCTGTTGTAACTCTCAAGGATTGTTAATACCAACCTCTTTTAGTCAAGTGGCTTAGATTTCATCTGGGAGCCCTATGGCAATGAGCGATCTCAATTATATAGTTTCCTGATTGTTAACAGTCTTTTATGGAGCAAGGGGAGGAGTGAATGAAACAGTAATAGAAATTAAATAATATTATATTGAATACTAAAATATTTAAAATATATTGGACTCTCCTAGTCTGTTAGTCTATAATTATGTGTTCTTATTATGACTATTTTCCAGGCCAGGCGTGGTGGCTCGCACTTTGGGAGGCCAAGGTGGAAGGATTGCTTGAGCCCAGGAGTTCAAGACCAACCTGGGCAACATGGCAAGACCTTGTCTCTATAATAAATCAAAAAAATTAGCTGGGCATGGTGGTGCATGCCTGTGGTTTCAGTTACTTGGAAAACAGGTGGAAGGATCGCTTGGACGCAGCAGGTCATGGATGCGGTGGCCATGATGGTGCCACTGCACTCGAGCCTGGGCCACAGAGTAAGACTCTGACTCAAAAAAAAAAAAAAAAAAGTATTTTCTCATTAACTAATAGTGGAAATAGCTAATTTTATTGAGTACTTACTCCCTGCCAAACACTCTACTGAATTTTCTTTATCCTGTCACAATAACCCATAGTCTAGGTCTTATTATTATCAGCTTGAATACCATAGTGGAATATCTCTCAGAAAAGTATAAACAACTTGTTTTTAATCAACAGCTATTTGTACATACAATGAATATTGCATGGCAAAAAGTTGGAAGAACCCCACTCTGTGAGTTTGGAGCAGGGGTTTGTCAGAGTTTGACTCATCATGCTGTCTTGATAGGCATGCAACTCTAAGTTTTTAACTGATAAAATCTTATAAAATTTCATTAGAGATTCTGGAAGGGCATAAGGGAGGACCAAGGAAGAACTTTGAGCCTTCTCTCCTGTAACTCTTTTTAAAATCTTCTGAAGAAGAAGGAAAGCCAAGATTATAGGAGGCATGATCCAGTCTAACCTTTTCTCATCTAATTTCTAAAAGTGTCCTAAGAAAAGAAAACATTCATACTCTTCTTGAGCTGCTGTGTGAACAAAAGACCATAGCTTCCATTTGTGTACCTCCAAAGGGATGGGTAAATGATAATTTTTCAGTGGTTTTACTTGGCAGACAGAGAAGTCTGTTGCTCTCTCGGTGAAACAATGAATGATTTTTTTCCTTTAAATATGCAAAAAGTTATCAAAATTCATTGAGACTAATTTAAGATTTTTGTGTTTCTTATAATGCATACCTGAAATCAATAACTATAGACATTTTTGTCTCCTTCCATAAATAATAACTACAGTTTACAGGTAGGTATTTGGCATACTTATATATAAAAAATTTTTTAGTTTAGCTTTAATATAGCATTTATAGATTTATGTAAACTGTAGTTATTTTTAGTTGGAATGTACTCTTGCCTCTGAGATTATAGAAGCCACCTAAAATATGAAATGAAAAGGGTAATGAAAAATGTTTGTAAACACATTAAGATTAAATCAGTGGCTGAGTCCAGTGAAAAGAAGTGATCTTATGAATTAATAATGAAAGTGCGTTTACTGGTTATTGTTTTACTTGAGTTTGAGTTTTAACAGCTGCTGGTAATTTAAACTAAGAGAAACCTAAATAGCCCATAAGATTTTTTCATTCTGTTTTTGGATTGTTTCTTAATAGAAACACTGAATAGTGTTTCCTATCTTAAATTATGGCAAAGAATAATTATAAAAATGAAATAAGATAAGGTAAGTAAATATATTTTGTATACTGAAAGACACTCTCTCACTGTCTGTGTATATGCTTGTGTAATATAAAATTATAAATTACTTATTGTTTATTGACTGGTAGTTTTAGGAGTTTGAAACTTTTTAGATTCCATGAATATAATTTGTGACAGTTTCTAAGTATAATGGACTGAAAAAGTTAAGATTTTGTTACAGACAGTTTTGTGAATAAGAGTATTTCAGTTGACTAGGAGGCTATTTTAGAAGCAGATGCAGTCATATAAGTGATAAATGCATTAATAATATTACTTTTATGTATTATTTAGTTAGGTTCAAGATCCTTTGCTGGTTGCATACTAGTAACATTTTGTTCATTTATTTGGTTTTACTCTGTGTACTTTAAAACAAATTGCAGTTCTTAAAACGATTCTAAGATTTAAATATTTAAATTTATAATTTAAATTACCTGACCCTTTCTGCAGTTAATTGGAAGGAGAAATGTTTTCCTATAATCACAGATGATAATACTAGTTTTTATTTTTTATTTTATTTTATTTTTTGAGTTGGAGTCTTACTCTGTCGCTCAGACTGGAGTACAGTGACCGCTGCCGGCCACTGCAGCCTCGACCTGCTGGACTATGGCAATCCTTCCGCCTCTGCCTTCCAAGTAACTGGAACTACAGCTGTGTGCTACCACACCTGGCTAATTTTTTTTGATTTATTGTAGAGATGAAGTCTTGCCAATTTGCCCAGGCGGGTCTGGAACCCGTGGGCTCAGGCAATTCACTCACCTCGGCCTCCCAAAGTGCAGGATTACAGGCTGAGCCACCTATCCCGGCCAATACTAGTTTTTAAACTAATCCAATTAAAGAATGCAAAGGACAATTTCTTTTTTTGTTTGTTTGTTTGTTTCTAAGCAAAGCCTACATCTTTTAGGCAATGCTTTTAAATATTATGTCTGAAACACCACATTAAAAATATGTAGCCATGCTGTGTTACTCATTACTAAAATTATCTTAATAGTAATTACACATTGATTCTTTTATTTTAATTGCATAAGGGGGAGATATAAAATAAGTGAAATTTATCTCTCATTTATCTTGTACTGTACTACATACTTGGGAGAGTTATAAAGAAATCTCTAAGTGCTGTCTTTGAGGAGCTTATGGCATTAAAGTAGGGTAAGAAATTTTTTAAAAATAATAATAAAAAAGCCAAATAATGTGATAAAATTGGTGTGTCCTAGAAGTGAAAAGAGTGAAAATTTTAAATATAAGTGACCTGAAAGAACTTTTTATCACAAACTGTTTACTAGGTTTTTGAACCAAGGACATCTCAATCTTCGTTCTGCTGACCTGTTGTCCTAATAACAGATCACCATCAGCTTTGTTGGAGCACAGTGCAAGAAGTAAAACATGCACTATATTTCCTTTATTTCCAGGCATACTTCCGACAGGGTGTTGCCCTCCAGTACCTTGGACGTCATGCCGATGCCCTGGCAGCCTTTGCATCTGGACTGGCTCAAGACCCCAAGAGTCTCCAACTTCTGGTGGGAATGGTCGAAGCTGCCATGAAATCTCCCATGAGAGGTAAATATGTTAAAAGTACTTGGTGTAATATTAATTTAAAGTAGAGCATTTCTAGCCTTCAAAACTTTAGCCTCAGGCATAGAGAATTGATAGATTATCAAATTTGCTAAGATTTGATATTTTAGAAAAGGGAGATCAAGGATCACTTTCAGTAATGATGGTAATGAGCCAGAATAACACGATAGAAGGGCCACTGGCCTAGATGTTGGTGAACCTAGATTGTATTCTCAAATTTTATTTTATTTTATTTATTTTATTTTATTTTTCATTAATCAGTATTTTTTATTATGGTTTTGTGGGATCAAATTTTTTATTAACTAATTGTATGATGGTGGGTAAATGAACTGACGTCTCAAGATTTTAGATTTATTTAAATAATCCTTATGGTTTGATTTTATAAGTCTAAGAATCTGTAATTCGAAACCACAATTCCTCCAGTAGTAAATTGGTTTGCTCAGATGGACTAATATGCTTTCTAGAAATAGCCAAATAACAGAAGATATTTGACATTCTTATATTTCATAAAAGGAAATATGTATCTAACTGTAGGCTGTGTCTCAGTTTTCAGAGCATTAAAAGCATTATGTTAAATGAAAGGAGAGACAAAAAAATAGAGATAATAGTTTATATATTTCTCCTTGTCCTTCTGCTTGATACCAATTGATATTCTGGAAAAGCAAGAGAATGGATTGAAAAGAGTATTGTGGAGGTTGGAGGAATTTTGAGGCCAAAACACATTGGCTTCATTTTGAGGAACATTGATTTTTGAAGAATGAGCTCGTGGGAAGATTTGACTGAAAGTACATACCAATTGTTATCTTTGGGGAGTGATGGAAACACTTAAGGCAGATTCATGGCAAATAGTAGACAGCTAATAATGTTTCATTTTAATTAGGTTATGTCAAGCAGAACTCTATTTTTCACTCTGAAATGGTGTGTTTTTGAATTTTTCGTATGGGAAAATAAACCTAGAATTTTTGATAGCAGCATCATTCAACAGTTTATCTACTTTTGAAAATGTTTGCACCATTAGATAGTTTTAATATACTGGCTAGTATTGTATTTGGCTCAAAATATGTGTTAAATAAAAGTTTGATGAACTAAATGGTACTCATATGGTCTCTGGGCAATTCAAACCAAAAAAAAAATTTTTCCTGAAAGTTAGGGATTTCATATTTTAGAAGAAGAAAGTGGAAAGAAAACCTCTTTTCCTGTGATTTTATAAATCGTACAACATTGAGTCTTTGCTACATAACCTATTGGCTAGAATCCACTGGGGACCTGCTGTTAATAAACTCTGACTTAGAGCAAATGCCTTTAGGAGCTCTAGGGCTTGGGGGCGGGGCATAATGGACAACAACAAGAAATCAACCTATCTCTCCTTTCCCTTTTTCTTTCTTTCTTTTTTTTCCTTCATTCTCTCCCTACTCCTCTCCACAAGGAATTTACATGGAACATTTTTTATTTGGCTCATGAAGATATTGCCTCATTATTCTATGGTGATTCTGCTGCTGTCTTAGATATCGCAGTGAATGTGTTGAGATCAGCAGAACCAAACTTAGCATTGTGCCTTTGAAGCAATCTATTTAGATAAATGTAAGGAAATCTTCCCTGCATTGCTAGAAATCGCTCAGAGTTGCTGTCACCCTTAGGGTTTTCTGTACCAGGTTCTTTCCCAACTTATATGAGTGACCTAAGACTGACCCTGGAGAGATCTGCTTCTTCCAGGTGCCTGGAGCACTTCAATATCTTCTTCTCTTCCCTTAAGGCAATTTCATTTATTTCATTTATTTTTAGCCTCACCTTTACCACTGTCTATACCAGGTGGATTTTTCTTATCAACATTTTATAGAGAATGTTGCTTTGCACAGTGCTGTTCTTTGCATCATCCTGCATCTTAATGACCTTTCTTTCTGTCATATGGCTATAATTCACAAAATCTGTCATCTGCTGCCCATTTTTAAAGCCACCATTTACTTTAGCCTTCTGCAACTTCCTAAATTTTTGCCATAGTTTCATAGCTGTGCAGTCTGGGTCATTTCATATACAGATCTGACCTGTTTTGTCAATTGTTTTGTTTAGTAATTTTTAAAAAGTCTAATCAAGTAAAGCAGTCAGAGCCTAGAAGAAACAAAGAAAGCTGTAAGTGATTGTGATCAATTCATTATAAACACCACTGCACTCAGACCAGCCTGTTTTGTCAGTTTTATTTTTTTTAATTAAATTAAAAATTTTTTTTTGAGTTGGAGTCTCACTACTTCGCCCAGGCTGGAGTGCAGTGACATACACGCACATGGCCACCCCAGCATTGACTTGCTGGGCTCCAACGATCCTTCTGCCTCAGTCTTCCAAGTAGTCAGAACTACAGACGCACGCTACCACACCCGGCTATTTTTTATTTTAATGTAGAGATGAGGTCTTGCCAAGTTCCCCGGGCTGGTCTCGAACCCGAGGGTTCAGGCAATCCACTTGCCTCGGCCTCCCAAAATGCTTACAGGCTGAGCCACCCAGCCCTACCTGTTTTGTCATTTTTAAATGAACAAAAGAAAACTCTGGTCCAGATGTTTCTATAAGTTAACAAAGCTCCCATGACCTGCACAGTGTTTTTGTGATTTAGTCCTTTTGAAAGTTTTAAGATTTTATTTTTTTTAAGGCAGAGGCAACCTATATTTACTCTTTTTCCCATGTAAATACATTATACTTACACATGTTGAAACTCATTTGATTTTTTATTGTTGCTTATAGTTCTAACTGAATTAAATGATTTACTTTATTTTTATAGCTTCATTCCTGCACACAAACCAGATATCAGTTAAACTATTTTTCCTGTGGATATATTTACATTATGCTATATACTGTATTGGCCTTAAATCATTAATGAAAATATAAAAATTAAATATAAATATAAATTGATACGCTCTTTTACGGGATTTCTCAGATTATTTTTACCGTATTTCATTTTTCCTTTTTAGATAGTCTATTAAGCAATTTTATCTCATAAATGTTTAAGCAAATTTGGATGTTGTAGTGTACTACTACTGCCAGCCTTGGATTTAGCAATATAATTACAAAGCAAAATTGAGTTTACCTTTATTTGTTCCCTGTAGATATCAGGGCTGCTTCTTGCTGAGGGTTCTGTTGTATACATTGTTTCTTCTCCTGTTAATTTGGTAATCTAAAGACTATTACGTTTATGGGCTATTACCTGTTGTGGTGTTTCTATCAGCTCCAGAGTATCCAAAGAAGGTGATTTTATGAAGTGCTGATGGAAAATGGCTGTTGCTGGGCGCGACGGTTCACATCTGTAATCCTAACACTTTGGGAGGCCAAGGCAGCAGGATTGCGTGAGGCCAGGAGTTTGAAACTAGCCTGGGCAATGTAACAAGACCTCACCTCTACAAAAAAGTTAAAAATGAACCGGACATGGTGGCACATGCCTGTAGTCCCAGCTACTCAGGATGCTGAGGCAGGAGGATGGCTTGAGTCCAGAAATTTGAGACTGCAGTGAGCTGTGATTACACCACTGCACTCCAACCTGTGCAACAGAGTGAGACCCTGTCTTTAAAAAAAAAGAAAATGACTGATGAGTATATAAGCTTTTCTCTCAGGGGCAAGTTGGGATTCCCTTTTATTTGCCTAGTTGTCCACCCGCAGTGGACTCTTTCCCTGGGAGTCACTTTTCATGGAAGACCTGCTTCAGAAATGTTATGTTAAAATGTAGACTTTTCCCCAAAAGGATTGGAATCTAATTCCAGCACTACTATTTGCAGTCCATTGATTGAATAAGGTTGATTCCTTTCTCTGCAAGATTCCTTATCTGTAGAGGGAAATGATAATATCTATTTCCTCATGTTGTATTGAGAGTCAAACACTAGAATGTAAAGACAGTCCCCTATAGAATGCCTTTTCCTCTGCAGTGTGATGCCTTTCTCACTGAGGAGTGGAAGTAGCAGCAGTGTTAACCCTGCTCTTATGTGTATGACAGCCATGGTGTTGTGTACGTGGAATGAACACTACATGGTACACAAGGTCCTCTTTATAAGCACTCACAGAGAAGTTTCTCTCAGGCCTTTTCTTCATTCTTATCTCCAGATACTCCTGACTACAACTACCTGCAACTCCTGGAATATACTGTAGTTTCTCATATTTCCGGTTTCTATTCAGATGTTACTTCCTCTGGGAAGCCTTCCCACATCTACCCTGGTAGAGTTAACACCTTTCTTCTTTGGGGTCTAGTAGCACATTAGACCAATTCTGGGAACTCTGGATTGAAAGTTTTGTCATGATTTCATATATTACTAAGAAAGAAAAAAAATTCTGATTATTAAATAAGGACATATTCCTTTCTTATCACTTAACTGAACTCTTTCAAACCTATTTAGATATAAAAATGACAAACCATTTTGAGGTTCAGAGATACTAAATCCCAAATTCAGAGATGTTAATATTTGAATAAATATGCATCTCAGAACTGATGAAATATAGTGTATCTCTTAACTGAGTGTGAAGTATATTATAATCTCTTGGCTGAGTGTGATTTTTATTATTACCCTCTTCTACATTCCTATAAGCTTGTCAAGTGTTAGAAAATGTGAATTTGTTCATCATAAATTCCTAAAGCCTTTCCATTTCAAAAACACATAATAACTGACCAATCAGTATTGCAAAGGGCCTTTATATTCTTTTTTTTTTTTGAGTTGGAGTCTCACTCTGTTGCCCCAGACTGGAGTGCAGTGGCCGCTCCCGGCCACCACAGCCTCGACCTGCTGGGCTCTGGCGATCCTGCCACCTCAGCCTTCCGAGTAGCCTGC